CATATCAGCATTATAAAATCACATCTCAAATCTGAAAAAAACATAAAAAATACTAGTAATATGCAATTAGTAACTGTGGTTGGATTTGCAATCACTTTATTTCAGAATTTTTTTTAATATCATAAATATCTCTTACTGATTAACTTTATCTCACTGCACCTTCACTCCCACAACCTCATTCATCCTCCCAGCTCCCCCACCCCCATCTCTACTCCTAGCGTGGGCACTGGCCTGTTTCTTCTCTTGGCACCCCAGACCTCTGGACTGCCCTCTTGGCCCAAACTCCTCACTGCTTCCTGATCCTTTGCAGCCAGACCAACCGAATTCCTCAGTCTAGTCCCATGAAGCCCTCAAAGCCTGTTCCCACCCTCACCTCACCTCTGCATACCTGAGACCAGTCTTCATCCCTGGCTGGCTCGACCCCCAACCTTCCTGGCCAATATCTTTCCTGGGTAAGTTTGGCCCTGCCCACTGTGTCTTGACTTCTAAATTTTCTTGATTATACTGTAAGTGTTGTGAACACCTTTCCATGAAGCAGGTTTCCACAGACCATCCCTGTCTCCCACTGGCAGTATTTGGCCAATGTAGTTTCAGTACTGATCTTACAGTGATACTCTTTGGTTAGACCTCACTATTCAGCTGGTTTTCTCTTGATCCAGCTGTTTATAACAAAGTCACCAAGAGGATCCCACATTTCTCCAGGTCTAGCTCCTCTCTCATTATTTTCCACTCTCTTCATACATTGTTTATTTTTTTGTTTCTCTTGGTAATATCCTTCTTGGTTGCTCATGAAATATTCCAGCTCTGACCTAGCATATAGGCAGGGTCATTTTCATAGCATGTGTGAATTTAAGGAGCTTGATCCCATGAAGACTTCTCATCTGGTCCCGTGACCAGGTCTGCAGACCACCAGGGGACATCAGAGGCCACACTTCCCAGCCTTGGTCCTTCCTTCCACCTGGGCCATTCAAGTCCTGTCTGCCAGTCATATATTTTTCCCAGAGGTTTTGCTGTTCTCATATTCTTCAATAAGTACTTGTCAAACGTTAGAGCTAGCCATGTTCAAGACAACCTGTTAGTGTTGTACCAATGTGAAACACTACATGATAATATATATTTTAAACTTTGAAGGTCTAATTATATCATAGTAAAATGAAAATTCATGCCTAAAATTATGATTAATAGCTTATTGCTTAAAGATAATTTGGTTTTTGCTAGTATATTATATGACTTAAGCCTTATGATAATCCTGTAAAAAGAATCACTATCTTCATTTGCTGAGAGGAGGAAACTGGGGTTATGAAGTAGAGGTCCATAGGCTGAAAAGCCTCATTTTAAAACAAGGAAACTCAGATTTATGAAGGTGAAGTTATTTCAGTTATCCTAAAATAAATATA